ACTTTGGCCATCTTCTGCCTTGTTCTGTTTCCCCCTCTGTTACAACCATCAACATAATTTCTGTACTCTGTGTTCTTCTGGAAGGAATTTTAATGGATTTGTGGAAGAATCTTTGCATGGCTTTAAGTTTTACAATGACTTACTAAGTAGACCATGAAAAGAAAGCTTCACCCAGGAATGGTGCACACTTTATATTATATTTGAAATAACAAAACATGCTCTTTCAAACTATACTTATGTGAATTAACAGAATTTATAAAATTTTAATGTGGTTGAACAGAACAGCACACATGGCAGAATAACCAAGCAGATTAGTCGTGTAATTATCAAAAAGATTGGTTTTAAAAGGAGAAGACACACAATGATTCTAAATACTGGCATTCTCAATTTCTGTTTGAATTTTCAAAAGTGGAAACATTGTTTTTTAATATAGGTGGTCTATTGGGTGTTTTCTTTGAATGTTGAAAACAATAATAGCTTAAGGACAAAAAAAAAAAATCCAGCTTGGTCCTGATTTGGCACCACTGCCTATAAATGAAGGCGTAGGATTTTTCCCCTAAAAATATTCTGCCTGACATTATTTTGAGTTTGATGCTTTTTAATCATTCTACTGATTAGTTCACTGAGTTCAACCCTTTTAGAAAATTTCAGCTGATGTTTGTCAAAATGAAACTAGAGAAAATCCTCACAAGTTCTTCACAATCATTTTCTCTTTCTTGCACAACCACTTACCTGAGAAGTGCTGGTGCATCTAGGCTTCAAATTCTGGCACTGGACTATGGAGAGGAAAGCTGCAGAGAGAAAGGTGGAGAGATGGTGAGCAGGAGGGTCCACATACAAGCCTGGCACTCCTTCAGCATGAAGCTGCATTTGACTCACTGCAAAGCTCTGCTCACACATGTTCAAGCAGAAACTTGACAGAGTTTGGCAGCTAAATTCTATGAAGACACTTGGCATCTTTCAAGTCTGCAGGAAGCAAGCAGAGCTTTCTCAGGAATTGCTTCTTTTGACTGTCAAAAAAATGTGTTTTGGATGATGCAGATCATATACTTCAGATGAAAGAACAAGAAATCTTGCAATGAATGAGTAACTCAAGCAGAAGTTGAACCAAATCAGAACTTCCTTTTAATGTACACAAGCTATCAACATGCCAAGCATGCAATTGGCTGAAGTCCAGAAACAGCTGTCTCTCTCTTCCAAAATCATAATGTACTTTATTAATTTAATAAGAAATACTTTGTATTATTTGGTTTCATCCTACTCTGAGTACCTGATGCCATAGTAGCCTGAGCTACACCACACAGCATTTATTATGGCATCTGAGATGGAGCTTTTGAATGAGAATCATCTGTCCTGCTCTCAGTACCATGCCCTGCTGACAAGCCTGGGTAAGACCAAGCACAACATCCAGGTATAGTCATTTGCATGCCCAACTTTTCAGTGCATTTTGAAGCAGACCGACTCATGCTAGGACTGATTTTCCTCCTGTTCAATCAAGGACAAAACTCTGCTCTGCTTCAACAGAGGCAGAAGCATCCTGTGAATTGCCAATTACCTCTACCTTGTTATAAGCTGTTTATGAAACTATTCATTTTGCAGTTGTTTCCCACAAAGAAGGGATAATTCCATGTCTTTTTACTTTATGAGGCACACTGGAAGATGCCACAGAATATTTAGCAGGCAATTTGTGCCGTCATAGCAGATCTCTGGCTTGGCTTCTGAATCAGAAGAGTCTGCCTGGGTCTGGAAGAGTATGCAAAAAAGAACTGTCTTGAATCTATTTGAATATTTAGAGAGTTTATTAAAAACTTCATCACTGTGTAGAGATGCAATTTTGTTGTGATCTGCACAATGCAAACACAAGAAACATGGGACAGGACAGTATGCTCTTCTTTTTTTTTTTTTTTTTTTAAACTTAGTCTGTACTTCAGTGTTTACCCACAGTCTAGAAAAGAAGATTGTAGATTATCCTGTGGGGTTTTTTTTAATTTATTTTTTTATTGTTTGTTTTTTTAACAGATGACAATACAATTTAGCTTTGTCAGGACTACCAGCTATTCTGGAAAGGAATATAACGGCATTACACTCTATATTGAATAATTTATTTTTATTCATAAATAGAACTCCTCTCAGGATGCTCTTGATAATTTAAAAAATTACAGCAATTATAACAGCGCAATAAATATTTCAGCTTCTTCTTCTTCCATCAACACAGTACTAAAAAAAGGAAAAAATAATCATGGAAATGTTCATCCAGTCTTTCTACATTTGGAGGTAGCACTTTAGCAAGCATCATGACCCCTCTGGCAGATTCACAGGGTCAAAATCTGTCTCTACTCACACAGTCCTAGTCATGTGCATAGAGATGCAGTTTATTGTCTAAGCCACTGTGCCTGCTTTGGTGCTGCCCTGTGGCAGAGTTGATACTCCCTCCCCAGATCCAAAGGTACTACAGAATGTGGTACAGAGGTACTCTGGTATCTTTGTAGGATCCAGTCCGATTTTAGCATAACGAACAATAAGCCAGTGCTCAAAAGCCCAGCAGGATGCAGGAGAATCCTTTACAGGGTATCTAAATCACACGTACCCCAATACATCCTTCTATCAACAGCTGAAAAGTAAGGATTAATTGCCTCCACATTCCCTGATAGTGTAAAGCCCTCTGAGGACCTGGGGATATAAAAATTGTTCATGGGCAAACAGCTTGCTGTGCCTACAGCTCTGTCTTCTGCTCCAGGGGGAATTTATTGGCAAATCCCTTGCTTCTGGGGCAGCACCTGGGGGAAGACGCAAGGGAGAGGCTCAAGAGCCATTGCTGAAGCAGCCCAGAGGTGCACAGATGCTCCAGGAATCCTCTTCTGCTGCAGGGCTGGAACCACCTGCCCCAGAGGATGGCAAAATGGCTTTTGATCTCTGTGGACAGAAAGATAAGATGTGAAAAATGTTGAAGGTCACAGATCTGGTGGGTGTATCCTCGTTAGTATTTGAGCCACAAAGCAAGCGCCCAGTAGAGGGCTTCAGCGGGCCACCAAAGGAAAAGGACTCCTAAGTACCGCACAGGGCGGATCTATATTAAAAAGATTTAAATAAATGCTGTAAATGAAGGCACCCTCAGATGATTCTGTGGAATTGCATCACTGCCAATAAGACTAATAAAGCAAATAAGCTTTTTAACTACATTTTTTTTTCTTCAAAAATTTGAGCATATTGAAGGATGAGGGTAGACAAAATGAATTGAGTCCAGAAATCTTTCCTCAAAGAAGTGCCTGCAGAACATAGAGTTTGAAAATATAGCAAGGCCAATCAATTTGAGAATCAGGCCTCCCCTGCCAGGGCCTGTCCACCCACCCTGAGAGCAACACAGACACCAAGAGAACTGGAAACTGCCAGTAGGAGAAGTGAAACAATAGCCATTTTCTTTCACTTCAATAATTTTTGTTTCTGGGAACTTCAGTTTTCCATCACCAAAGTGCTTGGGAGAATAAATAAACATCCAGAAGTGGTTGTGAGCTAGAGTCCAGTTTGCTCTTTCCTCTGTTGCTCACATACAAGTTCTTGTGCTTTTGACAAGCCAGTACATTTTAATGACAGAAATTCTGAGTATCCTGGGAAAGCTTAAGATGCCCTGGGCCTATGGAAATGTTTCCTTTTTGTTTTGAAGGGTCAATTATTTGACTAGCTGGAAGGAGCTCAACAGGCAGCTCTGATGGGGGAGGATGTTTGCTGCTGCCGCCTGATTTTCAGTCTGCTTTTTGCAAAATATCCAGGGCTCTTGACATTTGAAGATTTTTCCACGTGGGTAGGCTGGATGTATATGTTAAAACAGCTGAAAGAAGCTGCAAGGAGAGCTGGGGAGGTGCACCTCAGGCTGCAGGAGGGAGGTAACTGACAGCGGGGGCTTGGAGGTAACGACAGGGTTGCACCGAGTCCTGAGCAGCCCCACAGTGGAAGATTCTTCACTACATCCCCTCTTGTCTCTCACCCATGCTTAAAAATGCAGCCAACTCAAATGTAGGCTTATGAAGCTTGGGCTTGGTGGGCTAATTAACCAGCACCGAATGCTACCCAGGTATGAAGCGTACAGCTCTTTCTCTGGTGCTGAAAGCAGAATTTAAAACCAACTGATTATTTATTTCTATCACGATCCCCGCGGTGCCCACAGGTCTTCTTCAAACGACGCAAATTGTTTGTCAATTCTCCATCTACGTGAAGGGCAGCAGTTGCAACCTCATTTCCTGGTAACGTTTTCAACGCGGTGCAGGTGGGTTTTCGTAGAGTCACAGAGCAGACTGGGCTGGAAGTGACCTTAAAGATCATCTAGCCCCGTCCCCCCGGGCAGGGGCACCTTCCACTAGGCCCCGCTGCCCAGAGCCGCATACAACCCGGCCCTCTCTGCGTTAAGCAGCGGGCTCGGCCTTCACCCGGCGTTACTCCGTGACACGCACGGCA